TGACACAATAGATGACAGCCTAGGAAACCCTGTGGGGCAGTTCTCCTCTGTTACACCAGGGGGCGCTGTGAGTGGATGATCTATAAGAGTATATAATGACACACAGATGACAGCCTAGGAAACCCTCTGGGGCCGTTCTATTTTGTCACACGGTGGCCATCAGCCAGATTCCACTCAACAGCAACGTGTTGAATTATCTGTTAGGATTGGACTCAGGACTCCAGTATCTGATAGACACACAGGAATCTGGCCTGCCATCTCTACCTCCCTGAGATTCCTGGGGACAAACTAAGAAGAGAAAAGAAAATCCATTTTGAACCCACAAGGATCCAGCTACATCACCAAGCCCCCAGACCTACTGCCGTTCAGTTGACTCTGACTCACACTGTCCCTCGAGGACATGGCAGAATTGCCCCATAAGGTTTCCCAGGCTGAACATCATTACAGAAGCCACGTGCCACAACTACCTTCCCACACAGCTGCTGGTGGGTTTGAATCGAGACATTTTGGTTAGCACCTAACTGACCGCCTAACCGTAGTGCCACCCGGCCTCCTTGTTGCCAAGTGGTGTGCCATGAAGTCAGTTCCTACTCAGATTGACCCTGTGTAGGGTTTCCAAAGCAGTACATCTTCACAGAAGCAGAAAGCCTCAGCTTTCTCCTGTGGAAAGGCTAATGGATTCGAACTGCTGACCTTCCATTTGGCAGCCCAGCTCGTAACCGGAGCTCCTTGATATGAAGGAGAAGACGAGACAATATATATAAAGAAGCGCTTAACCCAGTGCTTGGCACTCGTTTTTACAAAGAAAAAAAAAATTGCCCTTGAGCCACTTCTGACTCACAGTGGCCTCTCCTGATAACAGTACAACTCCCCACAGTGTCCCCAGGCTGCCACCTTCACAGGAGCAGCCTGAGCTTTCTCCCTTGGAGCAGCCCCAGGGCCCCTGGGAGCGAGCTGCTTCTATCTTTGGGCAATCTGGGTCTCCTGAGCGCACTAAGTTTTCCAGTAGCTTCCTGCTTTGTCTTAGCGCCAATGTGCTAGACTCCGGAAAATCTGTTCTGCCACCTAACTCTTTCTAAAATTACCCAGCAGTTCGCAGGCGCTGGGCTCCACACTCCCAGCAGCCTCCGCGCACACACACTCAAGGAGTCCTTTGCTGACTTACCTGAGCTGGTGGACGCTGGGGACTTGCTACGCCTGGAAGGGCCCGGGCTCTTCGTGGCACTCCTGCGTGATGACGGAGCTATTTTGGTGTAAGAAGTCGATTTCACCACGCGACATTCTGGGGAGAGAGCAAGAGCCACAGATCATTCGTGGGCAATGGGACGCACACCTGGACACAGAAATAAATGAGGAGCTGAGACATTCCATGATCTTCCCGTTCCATATTTCCCAAGGGACCTTCTGGAGACCTAATACAATTTCAGGGTTGTTAGCTGCCAGTGAGCTGGCCCTGTGCACAACAGGATGAACCCACTGTGACTATTTGCAAAAATAGAGCTTCAGGTCTTTCTTCCTGGTCTCCCAGTGAAAGCCATTCACCATCCTTGCACTGCACCAGGCTCCGATGACAGATGAGTGGTGGCTGTGCATGCCGCCACTGTGTGGGACTCAAACCCAGGTCTCCCATGGAAGGTGGGAATTCTACCACTGGGCTACAACTGTGGTGCTCCATGCCATTGATAGCGACACCTAACTCCAGCTACATCTGTGAAAATGAATGAAACCATGGAAAACAAGGAGAGGAGGTACATACAGCAGGCCTTCCGGACTCAGTAAATAATGGCCCTTGTCTCTTGAATTTTACCACTGCCTTCCAGGTGAGTCTGATTCTCGGTGACCCCGAAGGCAGAGTGGTCCTGCTGAATGGTTTCCCATAATGCAAATCCTTCCAGAATTGGGTCTCATCATTCTTCCTCAGGGTGGCTGGTGAGTGTGAACTGCCTACATTTTGGTTAGCAGCTGTGTGCTTAAACCACTGCATCCCTAGATATTTTTATTGGCTTTCTCTCTACATTCCCCTGTGGATTATTGGTGTATTTGTATCTCTTTGTTTTTATTCTTTTTACTTAAAAAAAAAAATGTTTTTTAACTGTTTGTTGTTGCTAAGTGTCAACGAGTTGATTTCAACTCATAGCAACCCTGTATAGATTTCTGAGGAGTATCTGGTGAACTTGAACTGCCAACCTTGCAGTTCAAATGGCTTTGCAGTCTGGTGCATTAACCCACAACGCCACACCAGGTTTGGGTAAAAGTTATGGCGCACATTCATTTTCCATCCAAGAATTCATACACAGTGTGTTTGGTGACTTAGCTGCAACCCCACCATGGTAATAGGGCTCCCTGATCCCATGTATGAATTCTTCTGTCCTGCCCCTTCCTCTATTCTCCTGTAGTTCAAAACTGTTCTCTCTCCCAAGAAAAGTGTTCGCAGAAACACTGGCCTCATCAACCAGGAGAAGGGCTGACAGAAAATTCACTCACCAAGCAGGTCTCACTTTCCTGCCCCTGGACACTAAGAGTTATGAGTTTTTAGCAAGTGGTAGAAATGGCCCCATTTCACATAAAACTGCCAGAGGATGAGGTCACCAGGGGAATCCACGAGGCGGAGGAAGAGCTCATTCATGCTGCGCCTACCAACTGGTTCATAGGGTGAGAAAAAAAAACAAAGCTTTCACTAGATTTAAGCCCTCACCATCCAAGAATCGATACTTTAGGGGAAGATACACCAACTTCTAAGGAGGCTGTTGTTGTTAGTGCCTTAGAGTCGGTTCCGACTCATAGTGACCATGTATTGAGTTTCCGAGGAGCAGCTGGTGAGCTTGAACTGCTCACCTTGCAGTTCAAACCAATTTTGCTGTCCAGCACATTAAATAGCAGTGCCACACCAGGAATCCTGCCAACCAAAAGGTGGGTAGTTCAAACACAGCCAGCGGATCTGCAGAGACTGACAATTCACTCCCATAAAGATGGCTGCTTAGGAAACCCTCTGGGGCAGTTCTCTTCTGTCACATGGGGGCACTGTGAGTACATGATATATGAGTATATATTGACAGAAAGATGACAGCCTAGGTAACCCTGTGGGGCAGTTCT